AATCCTATAACGTGTAGCTAACTTTACAATTACTGTGCGGTCTCGTGTTTTATGCTCTTATCCACTGAACAAACAAAAAAACTATCCTCCTCTCCACATGCAAGTGGCCAGCTGGTCCCCGTTATCTCAGGAACCAAGAAGCAGTTGAAAGGAACTCTTGAGTAAAATCTACAGCACAGTGGTTCGGAAATGTGACTGATGCTATCGCTACACCACAAAGCAGTCTGTTTACATATTCAGTATTCACTCACCGAGTGGCCCAAGGCAGCTTTCTCTACAAGAAGGCCTCTGAAATAATTTCTTCGTCTTTATTAATAACTGGAGGCCCAGTGCACGAAATTCGTGCGGGGGGGGGGGGGGGTGTCCCTCAGCCCAGCCTGCACCCTCTCCAATCTGGGACCCCTCGAGGGATGTCCGACTGCCTGTTTAGGTCCAATCCTAAATGGGCAGTCGCATATCCCTCTTACAATCCAGGACTGCTGGCTCCCAACTGCTCGCCTGCCTGCTTTCCTGATTGCCCCTAACTGCTTCTGGCTGCCAGCCTGATTGATGCCTAACTGCTCCCCTACCAGCCTGACTGCCCCTAACTGCCCTCCCCTGCAGGCCTGGTTACCCCTAACTGCCCTCCCCTGTAGGCCTGGTCCCCCTGAACTGCCCTTCCCTGCAGGCCTGGTCCCCCCCAACTGCTCTCCCCTCCTGGCCTGATTGCCCCCAACTGCCCTCCCCTCCTGGCCTGATTGCCTCCAACTGCCCTCCCTTGCAGGCCTGGTTCCTCCAAATTGCCCTCCCCTGCTGGCCATCTTGTAGCAGCCATCTTGTGACCACATGGGGGCAACCATCTTGTATGTTGGAGTGATGGTCAATTTGCATCTTACTCTTTTATTAGATAGGAGGACAAGTTTCAACATTGAAAATAAAATAATTGCATTTACATAATTTCCTAAAGCCAAATAATCATACTCCCTCAGCCCAATGCTGTGTGCATATACGCCTTACAAAACTGAACAAACGCCCATGCTCTCAGCAGCGTTAGTCACAACAGGAGGGGGACGGCACCCACGTATGTGTCAGGGACGAATGGGTCTGCAGGATGTGTTACATGCACACAACAGAATCCCATCCAGCAGTTCCTTCTCTGTGTGGTAAGAAATTTAAAATGCTTTAACTTAATAAAAAAATAAGTAAAAACACACCTTTACCGGTTTGGCTCAGTGGACAGAGTATTGGCCTGTGGACTGAAGGGTCCCAGGTTCAATTCCAGTCAGGGGCATATGCCTGGGTTGCAGGTTTGATCTCCATTGGGGGGCATGCAGGAGACAACCCATCGATGATTCTCTCTCATCATTGATGTTTCTCTCTCTCTCTCCCCCTCTTCCTTCCTCTCTGAAATCAATAAAAATATATTTAAAAACAAATAAATAAATAAATACATGCTCAACCGGGAACATTGAAACAACATAGAGGAGAATACGATGATGCACCCCAAGAGCGACCACTGTGCCAGGGTCACGGGCATGGTCCTCTTGCGAACGCAGATGCACCTATAAGCACAAATGCTTCCCCAGACCGGCTGGCACACCTGCCTCTACCTGACCTGAGGTCAGCCTCCACGTTCTTGGCAGCTGGCTCTCTTCAGTATCAGGGGGGCGGGGGCACAGCTGCACCTCGGGGGAGACAGAGCTGGCTGCTCTCCGGCTGCTGCAGGTAACCCTCCCCCGAGGTGCGGACCGCCCCAGCAGCCTACGCTCACCAGCCTCTGGGTAACTCAGACCCTAGCAGCCAAATGCCCACAGAACACACCCTCACGCAGCAAACACCAGCCCCGCTCTCCCACCAGCCGGGCAGGGCAGGGATACTGTGATTGAAAAATTTACAAGAAAGAAACAAACCCAAGCACTCCGTACAGGTGGCTAGAAACCTATTTAATTCTCATGGCCGGGATGGAGGAGCAGTGACCTCTGCCCCCCACAGAGCACAGAGCCAGCTCAAGCCCAGCAAGTGCCCCCACCCCCAGAACCTGCAGGTGCCGCAGAAAGCACCAGCCCTCTAGGGTCCTCCCGCCTGGCGCCGTCCAGGCATTTCCCCAGCGGGACAGGCCTCCAAGGTCAGAACCGCCCGCACTTCACAGCTGGGTAACCTGAGAGCCAGCGCAGCCGTGCCAGGGCTGCAGGGAGCGGAGCGGCGGATGCAAACCCTGCTGAAATCTCGATTCCACCTCCCTCCCTCCCGCCGTCTTGCTGAGCACGCAGGCATGGACACGGACACGCTAGTGCTGTACACCCGCCCCTGAGACTTTCAGGGAGTCTCCTGAGAGGCCGCTCAGCTCAGTACCGCCCCACAGTGCACACGAAGGTGGAGTGATGGTCCATCCAGTGCTTCTTCTCTAATCTTTCTAATAATCACATTTTTATGTTTTAGAAAGAGAGAAGAGCCAGAGACACACACACAGAGAAACATCAATGTGAGAAAGACACATGGATGGGTTGCCTCCCACACAGGATGGAGCCTGCAGCCGAGGCACAGGCCCTGGACCAGAATCAAACCCGGGACCCTTTAGTCCAGGGGCCAACACTCTATCCACTGAGCCAGATCAGCGAGGCGAATGATACTGCTCTCAGCGCGACCGTCCAGAAAGGCGGGAAGACCACAGTCCCAGAGCCAGAAGCCTACGGCTTCTCAGTGGACCTAACGATTCATCGCAGCCGTCTGCATGCCCTCCGGAGAGGGGGCTGTCCTCGCCCGAGCTGGCGGGCGGCTTTAAAAGGCTGTGCCCCTTCCTCTGCAACCCCACGCCCCCCGACACCCCCCGGCGCCCCAGCAACACGGAGAGATGTCACTGGAGTGGAAGTCATGCCTGGGGACTCAGCTGCCAGCCCTTCCATCACTGGGCCGCCCACCCTCCCCCAAACCAGCAGGGATGCAGGGCCAGCACCAGGGCTCAGGGTGCGGACGGATGACACACCCAGAGAACGCCTGGCAGCCCGTTTCTACTTGCTTTCTTCACGTGAAACGTGGATGTCTTTTGAGAAACATGTTTGCTCGCACCCGGGGAGCACCTGCAGTGATCACCCTGGGAACACGGCCGCGGAGAGGCCATGCAGAGGCTCCGGGGGGAAGACTCACACTGAAGGTCAAGGCCCCGGCCAGGCACCCACAGGCCCACGAAGGCGGACGCACAGCGGGGAATTCTAGGAAGTTTGTCAGCCAGCGCAAGCCTCACCCCAAACCCCACCGAGCACCGACCGGCTCTAAAGCCGTCTGGATGCTCTAAGAGGCCACACACGCAGAAAACCAGCCACCCAGCAAACACCCTGGAGAGACGCAGAGAGGGAGACGGGTGCGCAAGGCGACTCCAGACATCTTGTCCCCGGCCACCTCGTCTGGCGCGGCCAGGACAGACGGCATCGCTCCTCCGCCTGCTGAGCAGCTGCAAAACCGACAGAGCTCAACTGAAGCCGGAAGCACGTGTGTGTGTGTGTGTGTGTGTGTGTGTGTGTGTTTTAATTTTTATGTTTTTATTGATTTTTTAGAGAGAGGAAGGGAAAGAGAGTCTGAACCCACCGATAGCTGGAGCCGGCCTCACCCCCGGCAGAAGCTAGTGGCCTTGGCACGGCTCCTAGTGCCAGCAACCCAGTTCCGCCACAGGAGGCGCCCTCTGCCCCCCAGGACCCCACCTGTCTCCCTGGAACCCCTCAACTCAGACCCAGCCACAGACACGGGCCCCCCCACGCCAGCACCCCGGGAAGCCGTACCGCCACGGGCCGGTTCCCCAGGAAGTTCAGGTCGCTGTTCTCTCCAAACAGGTAGCCTTCGGGGTGGGCCGAGTCGAACTTCTCTCCTCCCATGATGAAGTGGCTGGCGAAGTAGCTTCCTGCAGAGGGAGACACGAGCTCAATGACACCGGCAGACGGGGCCAGGGAAAGTGCCGATTTGGGGAGACGCGGGCTCCCAACCCCTCACCCAAGCCGGTGCCATGCCCGGGACAACGGCACCCAGTGGAGAAGCAAACCCGTGGCAGGGAGGAGCCGCGCCACCAGACAGCATCGACCACTGCTTTCCTCCCAGCAGCCTTCACCGGGTCCTCCCGCGATCCCTGTCCGCCCTCAGCCCAAGACCGGAAGGCCCCGCCACGCACACCCGTGAACACGTACGTATGTGCATTTTGTTCCTGATTTCCCCCCTTAAACTCAAGGAGATTTTTCTATGTCCTCCATGCACTTAGGAATCTTTTTAAAAATATATTTTTATTGATTTCAGAGAGAAAGAGACAGGGAGAGAGAGACAGAAACATCAACGATGAGACGAAATCACTGATCGGCTGCCTCCTGCATGCTCTGTACTAGGGATCGAGCCCACAACCTGGGCATGCGCCCTTGACTGGAATCGAACCCAGGACCCTTTAGTCCACAGGCCGACGATCTATCCACTGAGCCAAACCAGCCAGGGTCATTTGGGAATCTTTAAAAAATTGTAGATGTTTTTACTGATGTCAAAGAAGAAGGAAAAGGGAGAGAGTGGGAGAAATATCCATGATAAGAGAGAATCATCGATCACCTGCCTCCTGCACACCCCTCACTGGGGACTGAGCCAGCAACCCAGGCCTGTGCTCTGGCGGGGGATGGGAGGATAGGCCGACGCTCTCCCCCTGAGCCATGCCGGCCGGGCCAGGCGATTCTTTAAACAGCCAGCAAGCACGGGAAGATTCTTCGAGAGCCGTCGCACCCGAATCAGAGCAAACTCTTATGAGTTCCCCACCCAAACGGAAAGCCACCGAGAGCCGCCGTCCGCCAGGATGCCACCGGGCAAGCCATCGCTGAGGAGAGCTTGGTTATTCATTATTGATGCCGGCACTTACCGCCCTGTTTTCCAGGTGCATAATTTATAGAGGGGGAGGGGCCCTCTCGAACCCTCAGGCCCCGTGAAGCTGGCCCTTCGTAAGACGCCTTCTCTCTGCATTATGTATTTGTGGAGAAATTATATATTTATTACATGTTAGGTGACTTAGGGAAGGGAGGAGCCCACAAGGACGGGTGAGGAACGGGGAGACGCAGGCTGGGTGCCCGGCGCGGAGCGGCTCGCGTTCAGCGTGGGACATGCCGAGCTGCCAGCCTGTGCGCGGTCCGGTGAGGGATGGGCACAGGGACAGGCGCCGGTAATCAGCTTACGGGATCCGGCCAGAGAGAGCCCGGTGGCCTGGGGGCAGAGCGAGGGCTCCGAGAAGGCGCCGGGCTCCATGGGAAATGCCCCCCTCTCGGTATGACATGAGAAAGCGCTCACGAGCATAGCGTGCAGCTAACTGCAGTTTTGCTCGGCAGCTCAGGTCAAGAGCCGAGACTGTCCCCAGGCCGACAGCCTTTCCCAGCTCCATCCGCCCCAGGACTCTCCGAAGACGCCGTCTCACTGCCCAGGCTCTGCTCCGGGGCTTCCGCCTCTCCCTGCCTCTCGCTGGCGCCACTCCTGGCCCAGGCCATGCGCACCTCCCGGCTCCACAGCTCACTCCTCCTCCACCCTCCCTTCTCCCTCTCTCTCTCAGCTCCAGTCCTTCCCTCATAGAATCTAAGGCCTTGGCTTAGGCCAGGGCTGGGTCTGATGCTGATGACCCTGAACAAAGAATTTAACACTGTTGAGCCTTGATGTTTTCATTTGGGAAGCAGAGATGATAAAACCGCTTTCCGAAAAGGATCGCCGTGGGGATGGCCGCCTACGCAGCTGGCCAGGCCCTGTGGGCGGTTCACACCTGCGCCTTCTCCTTCCTCCCACTGGACTTCCAAGCCAGCCTGTGTCTTTTACCTTTCTTTAGCGTTTCAGTCCAGATCTTTTCTTTTTACTATATTTTATTGATTTTAGAGAGGAAGGGAGAGGGAGAGAGAAACATCAATGATGAGAATCACTGATTGGCTGCCTCCTGCATGTCCCTTACTGGAGATCGAGCCCACAACCTAGGCATATGCCCTTGGCTAGAACTGAACCTGGGACCCTTCAGTCCACAGGCCGACGCTCTATCCAATGAGCCACACCGGCTGCGGTATCAGTCCTGCACTTTAACCAGCTGCCATACCTTTTCATCTGGCCATCCCATCTTCACCTGAAACTCAATGAATACCCTCTTCTTCTGGAAGAAGATGGAATTAAAGACATTTTATCTTAAGAGCTGGCACCAGGACTCCTCTCAGAAAGCAGGCTCTGTTTTGCAATGGACCTTATGAAGCTATTACAGAGGGAGAGGAAGGGAGACATCGATGTGAGAGCGGGTATCAACCAGCAACCTTGTGGTGCAGGGATGACGCCCAGCCAATGGCGCGCCCTGGCCAGTGCCCTCTGCACTGTTTCCTTAAACAGCTTTACTGCCGAAACTGGTGTCGCTCAGTGGATAGAGCATCGGCCTGCAGACTGCAGGTTCCCAGGTTCGATTCTGGTCAGGGGCATGTACCTTGGTTGTGGGCACATCCCCAGTAGGGGGTGTGCACGAGGCAACTGATCAATGTTTCTCTCTCATTGATGTTTCTAACTCTCTATCCCTCTCCCTTCCTCTCTGCCCACAACTAGAATCTAACCTGGAACCTTTCAGTCCGCAGGCCGACGCTCTATCCACTGAACCACACTGGTTAGGGCGTGTTGTCTTAATATTGAGTTGTAAACGTTCTTGATATTCTGGATAAAAAAGTCCAAGTGATTGGTAAATATTTTCTTTAAGAGGCCGGCTTATCTTTCATCTTCCTAACATCTCTTGAAGCAGAAACATTTTCAATTTTGAAGAAATCCAAATTATCCGTTTTTTTTCTTTTATGGGTTATACTTTTTATCTCTCACATCCATATTTCTCTCTGTCTTTCCCTCTCTCTTCCATTCTCTCTAAAAACCAATGGAGCCGGCCAGCAGGGCTCAGTGGCTGAGCATCGGTCTGTGAACCAGGAGGTCACAGTTCGATTCCCAGTCGGGGCATATGCAGGCTCCATGCCCAGTGGGCAGCGTGCAGGAGGCAACCAATCAATGATTCTCTCTCATCATTGATTTTCCATCTCTTTCTCCCTCTCCTTTCCTCTTTGAAATCAATGAAAATATATCTTTTAAAAATCAATGGAAAATATCCTCGGGTGCCAAAACCAGTGTGGCTCAGTGGACAGTGCGTCGGCCTGTGGACTGAAGGGTCCCAGGTTTGATTCCGGTCAAGGGCATGTACATTGTTTGCGGGCATATCCCCAGTGGGGGATGTACAGGAGGCAGCTGGTCGATGTTTCTAGCTCTCTATCCCTCTCCCTTCCTCCCTGTAAAAAAATCAATAAAATATATCTTTTAAAAAAGAAAAGAAAAAATATCCTTGGGCAAGGATTAAAAATAATAATAAATATTTTCTTTCATATCTTCTTATAATGTTTTATAGTTTTTAGCTCTTGTATTTAGGTCTATCATCCATTTAAAAAAAAGTTATTGTGATATAATTCACATATTATGTAATCAGGTATGGAAAGGGTACAATCCCAGGGTTTTTTAGAATATTCAGTTATGTAACCATTCACCATGATCTAATTTTGGAACATTTTCATTACCCTAAAAAGATCCCACGAGCAGTCCCTCCTAATTTCCCCTCCCCGAGCCACTGGCGGGCAGTAATCTACTTTCTGTTTCTCTGGATCTGCCTCTCCTGGGATTTCCTATAAGAGGGATTATACAATATACACATCTGGCTTCTCTGACTTAGCATTCGTGCTTCCAAGTTTCCTCCATGTTGTAGCAAATATCAACACTTCATTCCTTTTTATTAGCAAGTAACATCCCATTGTGTGGACTTACTACATTGTATGTATCAGTTGTTTCATTCATCAGTTGATGGACTGTTGGGTTATTTCCACCTTTTAGCTACTGTGAATGCCTGTTGCTATGAATGACTATTCTTAACCCTTTGGGTGTGGATATTTTTTCATTTTTATCACTGACGGGTGTTGGATTTTATCAAATGTCTTGTCTGCATCTATTAAGATGACCATATGGTGTTTGTTTGTTTTTTTCTTTATTCCACTAACATAGTATATTAACATGGACTGACTCTTCAGCTATTAAACCGACCTTGCATTCCTGAGATAGTCCCTTTTCTTCATGGCACCTTCTGCATTCTTGTTCACCTCTGTAGGCAGGCGTTCTGCATCTGACACTAGATGATAAGCTCTGAAATTTTGGAAGGAGCATAATTTTCATTTTCTAATCCTCACTTGAGGATATTTTTTTCCAATGATTTTTTTTTTTTTAAAGAGGGAGGAGGGGGAGTGAGAGAGATACAGCAATTGGCTGCCTCCTTAATATGCCCTGACCTGAGCCAGGGATTGAGCCTGCAACTGAGGCACATGCCCTTTTCTGAGAATAGAACCTGCAACCCTTCGGTCTGCAGGCTAATACTCTAACCACTGAGCAACCAGCCATGGCAGGAGCATAATTGGTCTCAGGTTCAATTCCGGTCAAGGGCATGTACATTGGTTGTGGGCACAACCCCAGTGGGTGGTATGCAGGAGGCAGCTGATCGATGTTTCTCTCTCATCGATGTTTCTAGATCTCTACCCCTCTCCCTTCCTCTCTGTAAAAAAAAATCAATAAAATATATATTAAAAAATACATATATATATATATATATATATATATATATATTTAAAAATAAAGAAGACACATCCACATCACACAAGGAAATCAAACCTTAAGACAAAATCAAGAAGTGAAAACAATTGGTCTGCTCTCAATGAGGTAGAAAAAAGAAGAAAAAAAAATACACGGGAATTTTCCCAAGTACCAGCATTACCACCTGTAAGTGTGTAGGAAAGTACTAGTAGCATTTGAGGTCTCGGTCTCGATGACATCATCATTAAACAGAGCAATATTTGGGTGTGCTTTTTCCCCTGGGACTAAATGTATTTACTACAACTTTCAGGAACCTACTTATTTTTAGCTAAAGTACCAATCAAACTGTGGCAGAGCCACATTGTTTTTTAAAATATTTTTATTGGTCTTTAGAGAGAGGAAGGGAGAGGGAGAGGGAGACATAACCTTGTTCATAGGTCGATGCTCAACCACCAAGGCATGCCAACCGGGCCATTGGGAATTTTTATAACGGGTTTACGTCTTAACATCTGAGCAAAATGAATTACTCCTGTTTTTCCATTTGCTCCAATATGTAGCAGGAAATGACCTGGATGAGTCGGGTACGAAGTTTAATGAATGAAGTGGTCTGTGTAGCGTGTCCATTTCTTCCTGGAGAGAGGACACGAGCCTAAGGACTCCTATAAACGTGGGCAGCCCTTTCGAAAGACAGGCATGCGTGCATGAAAGCCACCACCGCGGCACAGTCACGCCTTTGCTACGCAAATGATTGTGGGCTCTTAAAGAAGCAAAGTTGGGAGAGAAGGATTCCATAGCGTGTCTAGCTTCTAACTAAAAAAATGACAAAGATCTACCCTCACCCTAACTGGCTTGGCTCAGTGGATAGAGCGTTGGCCTGCGAACTAAAGAATCCCAGGTTTGATTCCAGTCAAGGGCATGTACCCAGTGGGGGTTGTGCAGGAGGCAGCTGATCGATGTTTTTCTCTCATCGATGTTTCTAACTTTCTATCCCTCTCCCTTCCTCTCGGTAAAAAATCAATGAAATATTTTTTAAAAAAAATAAAAGAAAGAAAGAAAGAAAAGACCTGCCCTGGCCGGAGTGGCTCAGCTGGTTGGAGCATCATCCTGTACACGGAAAGGTCAGGTTCAATTCCCGGCCAGGGCACGAGCCTGGCCTGTGGGTCCCATCTCTGCCTGGAGTGTAGAGGGGAGGCAACCAAGTCACATCGATGTTTTCTTCTCTCTGCCTCTCCCTTCCTCGCTCCAATAAAACAGATCCCCGAGGAGGGATTAAAAATAAAGAGACAAAGACCCGGCCGGGCCCTGGCCAGGTAGCTCAGCTGGTCTGGGTCCTCATATGCCGCAGTTGCAGGTTCAACCCCTCCCAGGCACAAATGAGAATCAACCAACGCACGCACAGGTGGGACAAGAAATCAGTGTTTATCTCTCACTAAAATCAATAAAATTAAAAAGAAAATAGCCCTAACCTGTGTGGCTCAGTGGATAGAGCGTTGGTCTGCGGACTGAAGGGTCCCCGATTTTGATCAAGGGCATGTATCAATACCTTGGTTGGCATCCCCAGTGGGAGGCATGCAGGAAGCAGCTGATGGATAATTCTCTCTCATCATTGGTGTCCTTATGTCTCTATCCTCTCTTTCTCTCTAAAGTCAATAAAAATATTTATTTTTTAAAAAGAGCCCTACCTCTAGGGCCATCCTGGCCAAACCAACTCATTTCCCTGGGCCTCCATTTTCTTGCCGGTGAAATGTGTGGGTCTTAGCCACATTCTCAAAGGTCCCTTTCAGCTCTGAGCACTCTCCTCCCATGAAGAGCCACGTCCATGTGATGGTCAGGTGAAGCGGGGGAGGTGCCAGTGGACACGAATCCCCAAGTACACCAAGCTTCCCACTCCCGTTTCCATGTTTCGCCTTCAACATAAATAATTGGTCCACTTGAAGCACAGATTTCTCACACACAGTATTTCCAACTAAAAACGAGTAACAAGCCCTAGCCAGTTTGGCTCAGCGGCCTGCAGACTGAAGGGTCCTGGGTTGTGGGCTTGATCCCCCAGTAGGGGGCGTGCAGGAGGCAGTCGATCCGTGATTCTCTTTCATCATTGATGTTTCTCTCTCTTTCCCTCTCCCTTGCTCTGAAATCAATAAAAATATTTAAAAAATAAATTAAAATGAGTAACAATTAGGTAAAACTTTAAAAAGTTGGTAGCATGGAGAGGATTAAGACTACAGATATTGAGTGTGTTGGCTAAGAAAAGTTTTCGGTGTTTTTTTCTTTAAATATAGTTATTCATTTCAGAGAGGAAGGGGGTAGAGAGAGAGAGAAACATCCACGATGAGAGAGAATCACTGATCAGCTGCCTCCTGCATGCCCCCCACTGGGGATTGAACCCACAACCAGGGCCTGTGCCCTGACCGGGAATCAAACCATGACCTCCTGGTTCATAGGTCAACGTTCAACCCCTGAGCCCCGCCCAGGCTGGGCAGAACAGTTTTAGTTTGATCCATTACCTCTCATTATCATCATCCAAGATTCATACGTTTATCAATATCCTCGGGGGGAGGGGGGAGAGCGGTCCATGAACTGCCCCCCCTAATTCCCACGGGTGACGGAGGCGGCAGCCAACCACCGAAACTCCAAGCTCAGCAGAGCACGCTCCATTTCCTGATCGATAATAGCTAAGTGATTTTTAAAAAATTTTCTTTTCACAAGCACATGTGCTTATTTCCATCTGTTAGCAAGCAAAACCGTTAGCCCCCGGTTCATAGCCGTGATTAGCGGGAATGGGATTAAACCCGGGTGAGCCACAGCTGGGCCCAGGCCCGTGCTAACCCGTGCATCCCTGCAAGGCGCATCCCCTGGCACAGAAGCTGCGAGAAGAGAAGCCGCTCCGGCAGCCGCTCTGCAGGGGCAGGTTCACTGTCTGGTGCCCGCGGTTCACCTGGCACGACCCGGCGGCCGCACTGCGGGAGCCGGCGCCTCTCATTAGCAGCCTTTATCCCGCTGCCCGGCGCCGACACCTCGCCAGTCACCGCGGCCTCGCCAGGGCCTGGGCCGCCGAGGGATGGGGGCCAGGGGTCCCCGAAAATCCTGGAGGAAGGAAAGCAAGGAACAGGGCAGAGTTGGACATGCACCAGCAGCTCGGGACTGGCGGGCGCTCCCGCTGCTGGCGAGCCTCTCCCCTTTGCTGTCAAAGCCGCCTCCAACTCGATGCCCACGGATGCCCACGCCACCCGGCCTTCTGGGTGCCAGGTCCCTCCATCCATCCTATATGCCCGCGCCCGGTCCCGGGCCGACCCCATTCCAAACGCCCCCAGGCCACAGCGGCTCCCCGCGGCTCCGGCGAAGGCACAGCCCGGGTCACCGTGGTCCTCGCACCCCCACGCGTGTCTGCGAGGCCCCTCCCCGCTGACGGCCTCTGGGAAGGCATGGCCGGCCCCCTGCAGCCGCCAGCAGCCCTGAGCCCTGCTGTCCCCCGAGAAAGCCGATTCGAACCCGTGCCTGTCCCCCTCCCTCCGGGGCCCGGATGCCCGGCCAGGGCCGCGCCGCGCACAGGTGCCGTGTCCGTGCCCCGCGCCCCGCCCCCCTCAGCCCGGGAACACGGGTCCGGGCGGGGAGGAGGGGCCGCCTGCGCCCGGGCACCCGCCCCCCGGAGCCGCAGGCCCCGGCACACGGCGCCATCACGGGAGCACCGGGCGCGGGCCGCCCCCCGCCGCCCCCCTCAGCGCCTCGCGGCCCCCTCAGCGCCCCGCCGCCCCCTCAGCGCCCCGCCGCCCCCCTCAGCGCCCCGCCGCCCCCCTCAGCGCCCCGCCGCCCCCTCAGCGCCCCGCCGCCCCCTCAGCGCGCCGCCGCCCCCTCAGCGCGCCGCCGCCCCCCTCAGCGCCCCGCCGCCCCCTCAGCGCCCCGCCGCCCCCTCAGCGCCCCGCCGCACCCTCAGCGCCCCGCCGCCCCCTCAGCGCCCCGCGGCCCCCTCAGCGCCCCGCCGCCCCCTCAGCGCCCCGCGGCCCCCTCAGCGCCCCGCCGCCCCCTCAGCGCCCCGCCGCCCCCTCAGCGCCCCGCGCCCCCCTCAGCGCCCCGCCGCCCCCGCCCGCCGGACCCTCTGCGGCGCCGGCCGCCCGCCCTCCCCGGGGCCCGCGCTCACCGGACTTGGGCGGGTAGCGGTACACGGACTGGGCCGGCACGTCCACCTCCTCCACGCCCGCGTGCTGCCGGCTGGTCAGGGCGCCCATGGCCGCGGCGCCTCAGCGCGGCCGCTCGCCCCGCGCCCGCAGCGGGGGGCGCCTGCCCGGGGCGGCCGGCCTGGGCCTGCGGCGCTGGCGGCGGGGAGCCCGGGCCGCGCCGCGCACCATCCTCCGCCGCAGCCGGCGCCGCCGGAGGGGGCTCGGGGGCCGGGGGCGCCGCCGCCTCGGCCGCGTGATGTCAGCGGCGGCTCCGCCGGGACCGCGGCCTCGGCCAATGGCGTGGCGGGGCGGGCGCGGCCGCGCGGCGCCAGCCAATGGGCGGCGGGATGCGGCGGTGCGGCCGCGGGGCGGGGCGGGGCAGGGCGGGGGTCGCGGGGGTCCGGCTCCGGTGACCGCGGGGCGCGGGGCCGGCCCCGTTCGCCCCACTTTGTCCCCCAAACGCGAGGCCACCCAGCGCGGCATCTGCGAAGCCGGGGGTGGAGGTCAGGACCCCGCAGAGGGGTCCCGGGGACCACTTCACCCCCCAGTGGGCGCCGCCATTCCGAAGTGCTCTGCCAGCCCCATCTCCCCGCGTGGAGGTCCGGGTGATCACTGCGGGTGACCCCCTGGGACGGTCGCCATCTCTCTAGGGCAGCATCGTTCCAAGGGCTGCCTCTGCCTCTGCAATGCTGTGTCCAGCCCCTGGGCCAGCCTGGGCAGCCCCGAGCTCAGGGGTGTCAGCCCCAGATACCAGGACAGCCAGGCCCGGACCGCGTGGCTCAGTGGTTTGCGTCCACCTGGGAACCAAGAGGTCAACGTTCAATTCCTCGTGGTCAGGGCATACCCGGTGTGTTAGCCGTACAGGAGGCGGCCAAACAATGATTCTCTCTCATCATTGATTTCCTGTCTGTCTGTCTCTCTCTCTCTCTCTCTCCCTCTCCCTCTCCCTTCCTCTCTGCAATCAATAAAAATATATTTTAAAAAAGACACCACGCCCTGGCTGTCTCTTTTGGAAACTTGGGGAAGGCTTGGTTCCAAAACCCCACGCTGGTGGAGAGCTCGGACAGACAGAAGACGTCACCCCGAAGCGTAATTACAGACCCAGCCTGTGTGGCAGACCTTGTATTTTACCTGTGGGCCTGGTGCGTGTGTGCATGTGTCTGAGAGGGTGGACTGATCAGCAAAAACCTCAGCGGCTAGAACACAAGTTCCCAGTTCTTCAGCAAGGTTTGGGGTTCTGGCCCCTTGACTGGGTCTGGAATGCCATTTTCTGGACTCTCCCTTTTTCCTGAGGACAGTTCACATTCCCATCACCTTCTTTCCAGCAGCAGCCAGCACCTCCGGAACTAAGGGCACCTAGCCCAGGTGATTGGCTTTCTCCAAGGTCCTGGGATGGAGGCATGTGTCTGGGGTCATTTGTGCGGACTGACACCAACGGGAGGTCCCTGGCTCAGACCCACAGCAGCACAGCCTGCAGCACAGAGCCCTCCCCCTGCCCGGCCTAACCGCCGAGGCTTTCAGACACACCTTGGGTGGGAGCTGGTATCCTCCTCCACACCCTTTCACCACACACAGGCCCCACCTGTCATTACCGGGTCAAGGTGAACCGCAAGTCGCGAAGCGTCTAGAACAGCTTCACCTAAGGCCTCCAGTGCATGCCGGGTGCACTGCCGCCTCGCACCCTGGGCTCTGCCCGGACGCCTCTGTCCTTCCTGCTCTCGCGTGTGGTAACGCGGGCCTGTGGGGGGTTAGCAGTGTCTGAGGGTCTCTTAGTCCCAGGCAGAGCCAGGCCGGGGTGTGGCTCAACCAGGCAGCTCAGCCTTTTTCTTTTTATTGATTGGTTTTCAGAGAGAGAGAGAGAGAGAGAGGGAAAGGGGGCGGGAGAGAGAGAAAGGACAATTTATTATTCTACTGATTTATGCATTCACTGGTCGACTCTCCTATGGGCCCTGACTGGGGATCGAACCCAACACCTCTTGGGGTGTCAGGATGATGCTCTCACCACCTGAGCTACCCGGCAGCTCACTTGTGTGGCTCCCAAGGATCTGCTCTGGCCCCACCTCAGCCTGCACTGAGCCCGGGAAACTGGTTCCTTCCCATCTCAGCGAACAGAGTAGCTCCCCACGCCTATAACCAGGGTTCTCTTCCCATGAATGCGTCCTGAGCCCATGCCTGGGGCAGTAGAGAAAAGCAAGGCCCCACAGAGTGACACGGGGCATTCACCAAGCACCCCCTGGGTGCCAGGCCCTCGTGTTCACGCTCTCACACACGGAAGCACCCCTCGCCGCAGCCCCGTGACACACCTGCTCTAACACCCATTTATAGTGGGAAAAACGGAGGCAGAGAAAAGGCACTGGGTTCTGAGTTCGACAAATCAGCACCCTCACCCTGTGTACCTTCAGACCCCGGTCTGAGCATCAAGCGTCGGTCTGCAGGATGGCCAGGCAGTGACGGAGCCAGGGCTCGGTTCAAAAAGGAGCCAGAGCCCAGCCAGCGTGGCTCAGGGGCTGAGCGTCAAGCTATGAACCAGGAGGTCTCGGTTGGATTCCCAGTCGGGGCACATGTCCGGTTGCAAACTCAATCCCCCGTGTGGGGTGTGCAGGAGGGAGCCAATCAAAGATTCTCATCATGTAGTTGAATGTCTTCCCATGTGGTCACCCATTCAATTTCTGGTCAGGACACATGCCCAGGTTTCAGATTCGATTCCCAGTTGGGGACATGCAGGAGGTATGGACGTTTCTCTCTCATCAATGTTTCTCTCTCTCTCTCCCTCTTTCTAAAAAAAAAAAAAAATTAATAAAAACATATTTAAAAAAAAAACCATAAAACAAAGATTCTCATCATGGATGTTTCTCTCTCTCTTCCTCTCCTTTCCTCTCTGAAATCAATAAAAATACATTTTAAAAGAAGAAGAAGCAGCAGCAGCAGCCATAGCCAGCTGCCTGGGGTCATGAGGCAGAAGAAAAAGGCACCAGGGAAAGCGCAGAGAAAGTTCTAGATCACAGAGGCTTCCTGTGAACTAATCGAGTTGGAGCCCCACTTCCTGCGCTGTAGACTCGCAGGGTTGCAGTCTGGGGAGAGAGAGCTCAGCAGGGGTCCAGGGCAAAGAGCAGGCGCGCAGCCATGCCCGGGAGAGGCCCTCTGGCTGCCAGGCCGGCTGGCCTCTCCCGTCTTCCTCGCCGTGCCCCGTGCCCGTTGGCTCCCTCACCAGAGATCTGGGCTGGGAGGAGGCCTGCAGGAGGCGATGGCACAGGCCAGAGGGAAAGGAACCAGGAGCGACCTCCGTGGAGAGAGCCACACAAACGCTTTCACCTTGGCTGAATGTCCCGGAGATGGCACCGCACACGCAGGGAAATGAAATGCAAACTGCAGTGTCCTTTGTGAAAGCGCCGCTGGCAGCTTGTGCTCTCCCCGCAGCGGCCGCAGCCCCGGGAGAATCCCAGCAGAGCACCAGCGCTTCACGGTCCGGGTTTTCTTAAGCATCCGGGGAAGGCAGGGAGGCAGAAGCCCGCAGTTCATGAGCTCCCAGCCCCTCTCAGCCTCGGGGCTGAGGGAGAAAGGAGAGCAGGTGGGGGAAGCGCAGGGACAGTCATTTCCAGGTCAGCCGTCCCCCTGAGCTCTAAGTTCTACTCACTCGGGCTGTCCTAGTTTCTGCTTCTCTCTGCGGCACATCCCCTCCTCTCAGTGGCTCTGCAGATTCCTGTTTGAGGAGGGAGGCTGCAGGTGAAACGCTGGCGGCCACAGCCCGGTCATCACAGGCGGCGGGAGAGGGGGAAGGAGGGCACATGGGGCCTGCGGAGCCGGCCAGGCCCCTTCGGGCTGCTTGTCGGCCATTCTGGCCCTGCTAGGGGGTAAGAAGATTGCAGCCTGGCTGTTCCGAGCAAGCACCGGGTCTCCCCAAAAGACAGGGCCCCATCAGCAGCCTCAAGGCCCTGATCCCTCTCCCAGGCCCCTGCTGTCGGGGGTTCGAGCCAACACCATCAGCTGAGGATTTCCCATCCTGCGCGGGCCGTGGGCCAGGCTGATGCCCACAGAGGAGCCCGCTCCGACGCCCCCACACGGACACGCCCCGGGCCCACGCGGCTCCTCTGCTCCCTGCCGTGAGGACGCTGAGCTCGTCCTCCAGGGAACGGCACTCGGCTTCCATGCTGTGCTTCTCGCCAAATGCGATTCCTCTCTGTTCAGTCCTCCTCAGCTGTGGCCGCTGATGACGGCGAGCTGTGCGCCCAGCACCAGCCCTCAGCGGGGTGTGGAGCGTCTTCGCCTGCTTTCCCCGGGGAGGCCCCGGAGAAAACCACGTGTCCCCGCCCGTGTGGTGGGCCCAGGGCAGGAGGCTAAGGGCCTGGGGGTAACCTTTCCTCGGCTCTCGAGTCAGGCAGGTGCCTCACATGAATCCTACTCGAGGCCCAGTTTAAAGGACGAGAGGCCGGCCAGTGTGGCTCAGTGGTTGAGCATTGATCCAGGAACCAAGAGCTCTCGGGTTTGATTTCTGGTCAGGGCACATGCCTGGGTTGTAGGCTCAAGCCCAGGAGACAGGAGACAGCAAATCAATAAAAACACTTTAAAAAGGGAATCAGGCCATTCTATACATATATATAATGTTTTATATAATGTTTCTTATTGATTTTTTTTTTTTTTAAGAAAGAGAGGAAGAGAGAGGGAGAGATAGGAAACATCGATGAGAAAGAAACATCTATCCGCTGCCTCCCGCATACCCGCTACTGAGGATCAAGCCCGTGACACAGGCATGTGCCCTGATCAGGAGTCAAACCCGAGAGCTCCCAGTTCCTGGGTCAACGCTCAACGGATGAGCCGCTCCGGCCGGGTGAGCCATTCTCGGTGCCTTAGTTTAGGCCCAGGAATTCCTAGCAAGAACCAGAGCCTGGCCACTCCTTCCTGAGCCCACAGTCGCTCTTGCCTTCATTGACGCTGCCCTGCCCTTGGCTTTGAGCTCAGCCCCGCACTCCGTGATCAAGTTGGTGTGAACATGCCCCACGAACATGGCAGCCCAGTGGGTGCAGATCGGCGGCCTGGCCGCCCTTCTCGGTAAACACCGGCCGGCAAAGAGCCCAGGGACGCCAGCACGCGGGCGGGCGGCGTGGTGATGGCCTCACGCGGCTCCCACACGCTCCGCTGCGGCCGCTTAGCCATCCAGGCGAGAAAAGGAGGACGAATCTCCCCCTCGGCCAGGGATCCCCATGGTGTCCTGGCAGCAGCCTGAAGGCCACTTCGCCCACCCGCTGCCGGACG